TACCCACGCCCCCCACCGCCCAAGTCCCCCACCGCCGACGGCCCCTCCCCCCTCCCCGGACGGCCCCTACCGCCGACCACCCCCACCACCGAGGCCCCCCCCGGACGCCCTCCCCCCCCACGCCCCTCCACCACCCCTTCCCCCGCCCACGCCCACCCCTTCCCAGCCCCCCGCCGCCCAGTCCCCCGCCTCCCCCCCCGTCACCATCTAAGGGACAGTGCACTTCGAGGCCTATCCCAACGACCCCACCAGCGTGCTCGCCACCTACACGCTCACCTGCATTGGCTACGTGCCCCTATACGTGGAGGGCCACGTCTACGACGCCGGCCTCATGGAGTCCGTGGGGCAGCGGGCAGACCCCAGCGTGGACGGCTCGCCCACCTCCACCGTCCAGGCTCGCCACAACCTGGCGGATGCGGTGGGTCGCCTGGTGTACGGGGCCACGGTCTCCTTGAGCGGGCTGACGGCGTGGATCGAGGCCGGGCCCCTGACCATCACCAGCGACCTGACGGTCGAGCCCCCGCCCGTGGCCCCGCCGCCGCCCCCGGCAGCCGGCATCAGTGGGACACTCGCCCAGTCGGGCTCCTCCTTCACCCTGTCGATGACGGCAGATGGCGTTGTCCCCTACTTCTACAGCGTGGCCTTTTGCTATAGCACCGACGGGATCTTGGGCGTGCGGAGGATCGTGGTGGGGTATGACAATCCCTCCACCTCCTCCTTCTCGCTGAGGAACAACATTTACGCTAAGTATTCCTATGTGAAAGTGATCGGGCTCGACACTGACAGCAACCCTGTCACGAGCATGATCCAGCTGTTCCCCGTGCCAATGTAGGGGCACTGGGAGGCATGCCATATGCCCTCCCCTCCTCCCATGCCCCCGGTGATGTGGTCAGTTGCATTCTTTACATGAAAAACCTTGTCAGGATGCCGCCAAAGTGCATGGGCGATATTTGTCTCCATGAGCCCTGCCACTCGTGCTGCTCGCTGGCAGTGCCCTGGAACACAGGGGGATATCCCTTCCACTGTTCTTGCTTCGAAATCAACCACTTTCCCCTGTCAAGGCAATCCACACGAAGGCTGGGACATTTGGGGAGGTTCCAGGCAGCGCTTTTCCCACCCACGAAGGGCCAGGCCTTGCAGCACCCCCAAAACACTGCCAGCTGGAGCAGCTAGGCCGAGGCCCAAGCCGTCAAGCTGATACCCTTGCAGGTCGACTGATCTCCAAGCCATGCATGCAGACTCGGCCCTAGCAGGATGCCACCACGAATAAGGCACCCCAACGGAAGGCCGGGTGTGAATATGCGCATCCCGAGGCTTGGGGCGTGACAAGCAGGGACAGCAACTGCAGCAATCTTCAACGTTTTCGTGAGCGGGTCGTGGCTTACATTGGCTGTCAAATGTTACCATCCCCTCATCCCCTAGCAAGGAGGATTCGCAGGGGAGTGCCGAACGCCCCCAGATCAGGCTGCTTCAAGCATGTTGATCGCGCGTGCGCACCGGTAGCTCAGCGCTCCCCGATCCATGCCTCCTTCAAGGGGACACTTTCCGCATCCAGGCCGGAAAATACGGCACAATAGGTTCTCGCCAAGTACATCTCCGATCTCTGAGGCTTGCCGCCGTTTGTCATCACCTCCAGCACGATGTTCCGCCGAGCCCTGACCCTGTTCGGGCAGGGGGGTGGGTTCTCGGGCCGTCTGCCACGGCCCACTGGGACGAGGGGTTCCCGCGCACGCTCGAGTGGTACCAACAATTCTGGGCCTAGTTCAGCCCGCACTGGCTCCCTCCTGGGCGGCTTGCTAGAGGCGGGGCTGGCCTCTGGGGGCCTGTCCCTGCTGGGAGACCTGCTGGCCCAGCACCTCACCTCCCCAGCCGGCCTGAAGGTGCGTCCGGATTGAGATCCAAGGGGAAGGCAGGTCATGCACAGGCACGCCTTTCCTGTCCAGGACTCAGCGGCCAGCTCCTTGCCCAGACCTCCACCCCCCCCCACCCCCCCACCCCCGGCCTGCGCCTCAGCTGCACGCCATCGACTGGCCTCGATCCGTTCGCATCGCGTCCTTTGGCTTCCTCCTGTACGGCCCGTACCAGTACTGGTGGTACGGGGCCCTGGCCAGGTCCTTCCCCACACGCAGCCTGCCGCACTTCCTCTCCAAAGTGGCCGCCAACCAGCTGATCCTGGGGCCCATCGTCGTCAGCGCCATCTTTGCCTGGAACCTGGGCCTCCAGGGCCAGCTGAGCAACCTGCCCTCCAAGCTGTCCAACGACTTTGCCACCACGGTCGTGAATGGTGCGGGGGGGCCAGAACGCTTTCCATGGAAGGTCCGGGGCTGCAGATACCGGTGGCAGGGGCATGGTCGTGGCAGCAGGGCCGTGTCCTGGAGCAATGACTCAGCGGCCCGGGGAGCCTGCTGTCCTCGACCCCATCCCTCAACCTCACGCCCTCCCCCCAGGCTGGAAGTTCTGGGTGCCCGCGGCCAGCATCAACTTCTTCGCCATACCGCTGCAGCACCAAGTATGGTACATGTCGGCGTGTGGCCTGCTCTGGGTCACCTACCTCTCCTACTCTGCGACTCACAAGCAGTCGCCTCTGGCGCCCAAGATGGCGTGATCGTGACGAAACCTGGCATGATGACCCTGCCGCCAGGGTCCCCGCAACCTGACTCATCATGTGCACACATTCCCAACGCGCTCCACAGGGGAGAGGCCCCCCAGCCTCGTCCCCCTCACCCCACCCACAAGAATAAAAGTGACCACCGCTATCATTTGCCCACATGCCGTGGACCCTGTGCTGCCGTGGCTGTACCAGACATGTGCCGCAGGGACTGACACGCAGGGGTCCCAGGCAGAACAGGAGCTGAGAAGTATTTGGCAGCTGCGCCAATGGGCGCGGCCTTTGTTTCCCCCCCCCCCCCACCCCCCCACCCCGGCCTGCGCCTCAGCTGCACGCCATCGACTGGCCTCGATCCGTTCGCATCGCGTCCTTTGGCTTCCTCCTGTACGGCCCGTACCAGTACTGGTGGTACGGGGCCCTGGCCAGGTCCTTCCCCACACGCAGCTTGCCGCACTTCCTCTCCAAAGTGGCCGCCAACCAGCTGATCCTGGGGCCCATCGTCGTCAGCGCCATCTTTGCCTGGAACCTGGGCCTCCAGGGCCAGCTGAGCAACCTGCCCTCCAAGCTGTCCAACGACTTTGCCACCACGGTCGTGAATGGTGCGGGGGGGCCAGAACGCTTTCCATGGAAGGTCCGGGGCTGCAGATACCGGTGGCAGGGGCATGGTCGTGCCAGCAGGGCCGTGTCGTGGAGCAATGACTCAGCGGCCCGGGGAGCCTGCTGTCCTCGACCCCATCCCTCAACCTCACGCCCTCCCCCCAGGCTGGAAGTTCTGGGTGCCCGCGGCCAGCGTCAACTTCTTCGCCATACCGCTGCAGCACCAAGTATGGTACATGTCGGTGTGTGGCCTGCTCTGGGTCACCTACCTCTCCTACTCTGCGACTCACAAGCAGTCGCCTCTGGCGCCCAAGATGGCGTGATCGTGACGAAACCTGGCATGATGACCCTGCCGCCAGGGTCCCCGCAACCTGACTCATCATGTGCACACATTCCCAACGCGCTCCACAGGGGAGAGGCCCCCCAGCCTCGTCCCCCTCACCCCACCCACAAGAATAAAAGTGACCACCGCTATCATTTGCCCACATGCCGTGGACCCTGTGCTGCCGTGGCTGTACCAGACATGTGCCGCAGGGACTGACACGCAGGGGTCCCAGGCAGAACAGGAGCTGAGAAGTATTTGGCAGCTGCGCCAATGGGCGCGGCCTTTGTTCGGGATCCCAAACCCCATCCACGCACGCCGACCATGTCAGGCTCGAGCCTGAGCCCTGAGGTCCTCAGAGCCCGCTCCGCAGCAGTTCTTGCACATCGCCACCCCCCGCGGCGATGGCATACAGTATGGACAGCACGCCGCCGTTCCAGGCACCATGGATCAGGATGGGGGTGAGGAGGTTGCGCGTCCGTACATAGGTGAAGCCCATGAGGATGCCCAGCGCCGTCAGCTGTGGGCGTTGGAGGGCAGGGATGTAAGTGTTTTTGAGGAGTTTGTTTATGAGGGGAAGGGAGGGGAGGGTGAAAAGGGCGAGGGGCCCGAGGTGAGCCCGCGAAGGGGCTCAGGCAGGGCACTCGGGTGCCTCGCGCGGCAGGCAGTACCACGCGGGTGATGCGTCCGGGCATACCAGCCTGATCCTCAGAGTAAACGGAACAGCTGATTCCCGACGGGCCCCTGCTGCCCTGCAAAGTTCACCCCCGCCCTTCAAGTCCCTTGCCCACACTCGTTGCGGGGGGAACTCACCTGGGGGAAGTCGCGCGGCGTGAGGTGGATGAGCCCAAAGGCCGCGGAGGAGGCCAGCACCGCCAGTGGCACGGGCAACACCCGTGTGAGGGAGGGCAGGAGGAAACCACGGAAGACGGACTCCTCCAGCACGGGCGCCAGGATGGCTGTGAAGGTGGTTATTGGAGGTCGAGGGGAAGGAAGCGGATTCTTTACATGCCATGCTTGCGAGGCTTGCAGCATCGCCAGAGCTTGGGCAGCTCGGTGTCGTGAGGCCCTCACCAAGAACCACAAGGAGCAGGCGCGATTCGCTCGCTCCATGCCCAGCCGGCTCAGCCTCAAGCAGGGACAAGCAGGCGCCCTCCTTTCCCCAGCTCACACACACGCGATCGCGGAGATTGCCACTCAGCATAAGGACTCACCTGTCGTGGTTAACAGTGCGGCGCGCGTCGAACCATCGACGTTGATCAGCTGGCTGATGCTGTCTACCGTGCCGCGAGCATCGGAGGGCGCGCTGCCCCAGATGGCCGCCGCGGCGGTGGCGGAGGCGATGACCACGAGCGGGGAGAGCGCGATGCCCACCAGGGCCCAGAGCAGCCACCCATCCGAGGGCCGGAAGGGAGCCCTGGCGGTAGTGTGAGGGGGGAGAGGGGTATGGTCGGGACAGATTGCGAACAGAGGTTTTGTGTGTGGGGGGGGGGGGGGAGGGGGGTT